TCCTCTGCATTTTCTTGTTTATTCACTTATTTTCTTTGTTTCCTTTCTAACCCTGCGCGAAATTCTAATTGGTCTTGGCTTTTTAATATAATTGGTCGTTCAAAGGAGAAAGGATTCGGTGGACACTGGTGATATCGAGGGTAGGGAAAAATTCAGTGAAAGGAGGCTCTTCGATTCTCGAGGACCCGGTCTCCTCGTTCTTATCTTAAATCTTTCCCTACTAACCAAGCCGAAACTTGGTATTCCTTTTCTCCTATATCCTAACCTACATAGAGTCGTACCCTGCTTTTCTTTATATTTCCTTTTGTTATAATCGATCGTTTTATAATCTGGACGATTCGCCACCTACGGCTTACCTTGCGAAGCTCTTGAACGCCGCGGACTGCGGATTTATGCAGAGCGGCACGCGCGACGTGTTCAGCTGTTCCGCTATAAATTTGTGCATTTCCTCTGAAACAGACAACGTCGGATCGTCGAGTGAATTCTGGGTTCTGTATCTCGACAGTCCTGGAAATTAGGAAGGCGAATACGAAGGTGGATCGAAGCGGTCTAGGTTCTCGTTTCGCTCAAGGGACCACGTCGTTCCTCGCGAACCTTTCAGGGTGTTCAATCGATGGGAATCGTCGATCGAACGTTTTACGCTTTATTGCGCGTTGTCACGCGCACAGTTTACTCGTGCTGCGACACGTGCCTGGAAATATCTCGTTGGCGAATGATGATATCGATGAATCGAGCAGTCGAAATTGCGAACGATGTATGCACGCGAAGAAGAGATAGAAGCTTCGTTTAGTTCTTCAACTCCTCAATTCGATAGAGGAAGAGGCAGAATTTAATGGACACGCTTTTTATAGCTTTCTCGGTTACTTTTCTTTCCGTATTCGTGGTCCTATAGAAGTTTATAAAAGCTCTTTCCCAGTTCTACATCACCTTACAATTGGAATTTTTCTGAAACGATTCGATTTACCGAAAATTTGTTCTTACATTTGCGTTTCTGTACATTTCCGACCTTCTTTGAAATTACAAAATATTCTTCGCAATAGAATTCTCAGTCCACGATATGTTTCTAAATGTTCTACATGCACGACTACAATTAGGATAATACAACGAACATTAACACTCAACCAGCTCTTCGTGTGCGGACGATAATAACAAATAAAATACAAAATTACAAACTTTCCAGAAAGCGTTCTGGCATCCATCGAGAACTTCTTTGTTCGTAGCTATACGATTCGCGCGTTTCGTCTTACGACACCTTTCTTGGACACGTGCAGCCGTCCGCGACTGTTCCAGTCGGAACAACTCGACAAACGCGATTACTCGTTACGAGCATCGCATGCCTGTCGTATGACAAACTCGAATGCGAAATCAAACGCGTTAGACGCGCCGTCTACGATAATTGTACGAGTTTATTATGTGGCGCGAGCTCAATAGGCGTAATTTAATGCGAATTCGTGCCTCTGTTGGCGTTTATAGATCGAACAAAGGCGCTATATTTTAAAAAATGCACGGTAGCATGTATCCAAACGGGAATAATTTCTTATGGGACCATATAAATCTAATATACAATTGTACGTTTTATTCTACGTACGTATTACGAAGATGAAATTTATAAAAATGCAAGATTACGAAAAATCTAGGAGATTTTTAAACGAGGCAAAGAGAAGACCCCTTTTTCGTGGATTTAAAATTCGATGGAATGTGAAAATTTGGATGGAATGTTAAAAAACATTTAAGAATTCACAAAAGAAATTTGATCTCGTGTATTGTATATCTATCTAAACACGACAAAGATGAAGCGTATTTCTAACAAACTTAAAAAGAAAAGAAGTTTTATAGAACGGTCGAGTATAAAAGATATTTTTCATCGATGCAAGTACGATAAAGATAAATACGTATACCTCTAACCAATTTGAACGTCAATTCCGAGTTTAATTTCATATTACAAGCTCGCTAGAAGATTTCTGAATACAAATTACTCGTACTATATCATTTTCCATCCGACAGCATGTTAAGACGATAAATGCAAATGGCAACACGTGGAATAATAGAAAGACTCATAAAGTAAGAGATTAAGGAGAAATTTAAATATTAAATATCTTTGAATATCAGAGTTTTAAGCACCCTAAGACATCTGGAAAATAAGTTTCTCGAAGGGGATACACAATTCACGCCGAAGTAGCCCCTTCAGTCAGCCTAACGAACGAATGGCGTGCAATTTTTAACCGCGATATTAGACCCAGTTTCTCCGACGATTACTTTGGAAGAAAGTCTGCTGCGATAACTAGTCGGACCCCCACTGATAAACGATGATTTATCGCGGTCGTATTCGCGAACGCACGCAACAGTCTATCGCATCGTTGTTCCGCGTACGGTTCCAGCCACGTGTCCAAGACGTTTACTATTAATAATCCAGCGTGAGTCACACCGATGCATTTTTCTCTCCAGCTGAAAACCCGCGATTAATACGGTGTCGTGTCGCGCGAGCTGCTCGGAAAATCCACCCTTTCGATAATAATTCTTCGCTCGTTTCCGCGCTTTATTAGCAATCGTTGAGAGTATCTCGTTATCGGACCACGAATACGGTTATCAGTTATACGAGTCACTATAGCGCAAAATTAAATCGATATGGTCGATAAAATACTACACTCACGTAACTATTGGTACTAATACAAGTTACTAGTATTCATAAATTCGGTTATCGTATAATACGTAGAGGGGAATTGCAATTACTTTTTCTTATTCATTATCTAATTTAAACGTGACGCGTGAATCCGAAGTGAAAGCCGAATCTGACACTAAAAACTACAACCCTAAAAATGAGCGTACGAGAGCGTCGAGTAATTTGGAACGTTGGTTCGATGGGTGGGTGCAACTGTCTGAAAATCGTGGAATTCTATACCGTGGAAAATTCACGAGCTTCGTGGGTTACGGTACGGTTTATTAGCACCCTTCGAGAAATCGATTCGCGTTATTGAATCTCTGTTACCCTGCGGCGCAAAGTTTCTTCGCTCGATGTTGATCCAAAGTTGCTGAACGGTGGGAAAATAAATTTGTTTTTCTGTTTTACGGAGGAACTTGATATCGAGAGTTTTCGGTGGCTATTCGTTCCGATTTTCTAGTTTACTTCGATGGCGATAGGGAGCGTCTTAGATAGTTGGCGAAAGATCTCTATAAAATCATCGTCGAGCGAAGAAACAGACCTCAGAGCTGGTAGAGTGGGACACACTTTTTTCTAGAAAATATCAAAATAGCGACTATGAAAATCTACTTTTAGCGATATTCTCCGCCAAAATCGGACAATATCCTATCTACCAATTGTTCCTGGCGTGGCAGCTTTTCAACTACATCCCTCAGATACTCTGTCTCGTGAATCCGATATAATCTAGGTCGCTCTTCTTATGTTCGATCATGTTCCGATTTTCGTGTTCCACCGAACTACGATCTTTCGTCCGTTATTATAAAAAATCATCATTCGCCAATCGATATATTTCCAGGAAGAAGCTTCACATATCGTGTTCAACGACAAAATCAGCATGAAAAGAAAATTATATTCGTTAGAATCATTAGGTTGGTGTATATGAAATTTTCTCTTCCATTTTCAAATTTTAATTGTACGTAGTCTCTATAAAATATCATACATAGCTAATGAAATAATAATCGATAATATCACACATTTAATAAAAATGTTCATGCGTTTCGATTTCTATCATAAAGCTTCTTAACACACCGAGTAAACATAATCCATATCAAACGTCATTTCTCTGATTCCATGTCTTAATAGAAAAATTGAACGCTATCAAACTGTCAAATTCGAACTTACAAAAAACAAAACTTCGTACGCGCCAACCTAATAAACTCCGACTTAAGCTTAACGTGAAATCTGTGTAAAAATCATTCGATATCGAAGTATCGTTTTTTAAAGTACACGTTCTTCGATCTGTACGATTCTTACCTTTCACCTGCTGCACAGTGGTGAGCTTCCGTTCCCAGAGATCGTCGAACGGATGAGACGTGGCAGGCTCGAAGTCCCCCGTGTACTGTCTCAAGCCTCCGCTGGTCGTGTAACAGCACGTGCACATGCACGAATGATATCTCAGTCTCCCCTCGTCCAGATAAGGATGCGCCAGTGCATCCACCACGGTGATCCTCTTGTCCTGCGAGAAGTTCGTGAACGGGGTCAACGAACGATCGATACACGACGCGAAGCCCGCCTCTCGAAAACGATCGATCTCGGCCGACTCCGGCTATTTACGGGGACAGTTAACCGTGTTAATCTCCCAAGAGGTAGGAAAAACCCGAGTTCCAACACGGTTAGGGACGAAAACGAATTTACGGCCACTGTTCGAACGGATTGCTCGACTGAGATCGCTAACTAATTACCGGTTAATCGTTAATAAGTTTGTACGTCATCGTTATTTCCAGATTGGAACACGTAGATTGGCTTTAGATTAGAAAAATGGGAATAATAGATTTTAGAAAAGGAAGAAGAGATTGTTCTTCGTTAACACTCGAACTACCACATCAGTCAAATTGATTGGTTTTACAATTTTATTTTTAAATTTCTACTTCGTGTTATATTTTTTCCGCAATGATGTAATAACTTTTGTAACGGTAACTAAAAGAATAATATAACGAATTTTATTTTGTTTTTTATGTACTCGAACTCAAAATAATTTTGTATTAAGGATCCTTATACCAATACCAGTAGGAATGGCCGATACTTGTCAAAGTGTAAAAGGATTCTGCAATCTGTTTATCGAACCCTAATTAACCAGTTTCCTCGTTTTGTACAACGTCCCACACGTTCTTCAAATTTTTACTTCGTATCATTCGATATGACGATATCAGTTATCAGGAAAATTCCGGATCGATCGCTAGATCGCTAGATGCTAACACTAGAAATACCACAGCAGCAGATAAGATTGGTTCTACAATTTTATAAACGTATCAACCCTCGTGTAGGGATAATGGTCCCAGATGGATTAATAATGTCAAAAATGTACTATATAACATGAAATTCCTTTCGTAAGAAAGTAAAAAATCATTAAATATAAAAATATTCCATTATTACGTATTTTTTAAAAGCCCAGACATTTTCACTGGTTTTGGTAGAAATAGCTTCGTGTTAACTATCGGTAGTTCTAGCGTTAAAGAAAAGGAGATTCTTTTCATTGATTTGAAAATATCTACGATATGGAAATTCCTCATCCGTTGACTTATTCGTTGTCGGATTACGGATCTTTATTAGCGAATTTACCGTTATGGACTCGACCAAAGAAATAGAATAATATTTGCGCGAAAACATTATTTTACGTTAGGAAATCCCTTGTCCTTAGTTTCAGTTCTTTTGTTAATTCACCCTTCTCGCTTTGAAACACGCTCTACATAACAAAGTCCTTGGCGAATCGAAACTAAGAACCTCAGAGTTAACATATTTCATCTGCCGCCTTCAACTTTCATCTTTATCCCCCTTCGTTTCTTTCCATTCGAGAAACTTCAGATTCTAATGAAGCCTCGACGAAACCAAGCTTCCCTGTTGTTTCTTAAACAACGACGATCTAAAATTACGGAAAAGTATCGGAGCAACGCTGTAGAAAGAACGAAAATCCACGAAAAGTTTCGCAAATGGTAATAGCCCCGCAGTTTTAGTTTTACGAACGATGAATCAACAGTTTCACGAGGGGAACGGTTTTAACGCCTTCTGAAAGCTACGTTGGAACTTCATCTCGATTATTCATGCCTCCATTTTATTCTCTGTTTGTTACTGAAAATGGCCACTCGAGTGGCCATTATTCAATCCGTTCTGAGCGCTTGATGTCTTAATATCAACCGAGTTAAAACGATCACACGCGGTTTTACAGAAGTTAAGCGTGTCGTACGAACGATCTAAACGTAAACGAGAGTTCGAGGACGAGATTCAGGAAAGTAGGCTGCGTTGGCGTATTCCCGTGCTTTAATAACTACTCGACAACCTACAAAGACGGCTCCGATCTCGTTCGAACGAAGCCAATAACTGCCGAGACTGTGTTGGTTTTACCGAAATCCTGACGAATGTGGCGGCTGCCAGTTGTAAAAGCTACGTGTTTCGATCTACACTCTCGTTCACAAGTATTTTTAATATTCTACATTGCGCGAAATTGACAATGTTTTCGCATCCGCCTAAAGAAAGTGAGATAAAGTTGAAAAGCGATTTATCTCGTTCGATAATTATACAATACACGTTTTTAGCGTGTGTGAGAACATCGAGTATCGTAAAACGCTTATGAACCGGAGTGTACACAATTTCTTCTGACTTTTTCGTTTCTTCTCTTTTCGCGTTTCTCCTTCTTTTTAAGCTGGACAGTCGACAGTAAAGATTTTATCTCGACTTTCGTATTATACAAACATCATGTCCGCCAGAATTTTACTATGTCGCGGTCGCCGCTCGAAATATTTTTTACGAACTGCCACGCGAAACTTTTCACGGTCTTTTGTTCTTCGACATTTTGCCGTTTCTTATTTTGTTAATTGAAAAGATCGGTTGTAATTCGTTCGATGTACAGTTTCGTGAACCGTTGGAAGTTTCTCGAATGGAACGATGACGGAGTTCGATGACTTATCGCGTCGCCACGGATGTTGATAAGGGCACATCCTCGCTCGTAACTTGCGCGTCTCTCTTCCTAAACATAACTACGAGTTTCAGAGTCGATCTATCATGCAGCATGGTAGTAGCTAGAATAGTTGTTGCAAAGAAGTTGACCAACTTTCGCAGTTCCTCGCTCAAGTTTCTTCGCAACCGGTATATCGATTATCATTTTTAACGACAGATTCGTTCGTTTGAAGAAAGTCTGTCGTATTTATCGAGTACAAATGTTAGCAAAATGTACTCGCAACTTCCAGTCGTGTTTAGTGCTGTTTCCTAATAAAGTCGTACACCTATACGAGCAAGCTTTATACTCGATATATTCTATGCTCGACATTTCAATCATATAAATTACAATCCTATAAAGTCGGCACATTATGTCGTAACGATAGCTGAGCGTGATGAAACTTACGGGATCGAAGACTAGCATCTGGCAGAGCAAATGGACAGCCTCGTGCGTCGCCTGGCTGCTAAGGGTGTAGAGGGCCGTCAACGAGGGTGGCTTTGGTGCGCGCCTCAGCATGTGAGATCTCGCACCCTCGCACGCGAACCTCATGTCCTCGAGGGTTGGCGTGCCCAGCAATTCTGTGATCAGTTCCAGCTGCAAAGCGAATGAAAATGTTCTCGATTTTAGAACCTGGTCTTCTCCTTCCTTCGTCACTTTCACTCTGGCCGCAGAAACTTTGCACGTATCGAAAGAAAATAAATCGTTATACTCGGAGAACAGGCAAGATTCTCCCGCCATTTGTCGTCGTAGAACTTTGTCGATGATGATTGTTGGTGGATGAACATACTTTTACCTGACAGATCACTCCATTTTCGTAGAGTTTCGTCGCAAAGTACAATAGCAAAGGATCGAGGAAATTGCAATTATTGTTTGCGTTATGAAATTAACTTATTCGCATAGAATTACAAGAGAAATTGGCGATACACCGGTGAATTTAAAACGTTCACTCGTGGCACGGATATTTGCGTGTATTTGTATGAGAAACGCGTCCAATTTTCAAATAAAATGTCATCGAAGAAAGCGAAATTCGTTAATTGTTGGTTAAAGGACTAACCTGTTGCACAGGACTCTGTGCCTGAAAAAGTATCCGCCGACGAAGAAGCTCGCCAAAAATGCAACCGACACTCCAAACGTCCACGGCTGCGGTATAGTGTCGCGCTCCCATCAGGATTTCCGGTGCGCGATAATACTGCGTCACCACTTCCTGCGTCATGTGCTTGTTCTGATCGGGTTCTTCCACTCGGGCCAAACCGAAGTCGCAGATCTGCTCGCGAATAAGATTCATAATTTTGTCGTTATTAATTCCGTAGAAAGATCGATGGTTTCCCTTATTTTCTCGTTTATTATTTTTTTTTTACGTTGATAGCGAAGAAGTTTGGAAGATTTAGCCAGCTTAATCACTTTGTTTCGGTTAGTTTACTTACCTTTAGTACGCAATTGCTGTTCACGAGTAAGTTCCCTGGTTTTATGTCCCTGTGCAGGATTCTGGCTGAATGAAGGTATTTGAGGCCTGAAACAAAAACGGATTATACTTAGTACGAGAATTCGACGATTCTTAAGTTCGCAGGTTGCCAAATCTTAAACTTTCTACGCTCGTGGATTTGAAAATTCAGACATCTTGTAAACTTCCAGATCGTTAAATCGTGAAACTTTTGAACTTCTACTTCTGAATCATAAGTCCAGAAATTGTTCAATTCTCAGATCCACGAGTTTTGAAGTTCCTGCATTCTTAGATTCTTACACTTCCTAAACCTCTAAACTCCCGGATCTCGAATTTTGAATTTCCTAACTTTCTCAATTTCCAGATCACTCAGAAGCTCTAGAATGCCTAAACGAAGAAGTTAAAAAATTCATAAATCTGTAGATTCACGGATCTTAAAACGTCTTATGACGTTTCCGTGGTTCTTAATTCTCAAACTTGTAACTGTCAACATGCCAAATTCCCAACTTGCCAAACAACAAACCGATATTTCAAAATGTCGTATTTCGCAACTTTTCAAATTAAATTTCCAATTTCCTAAGTCCTCGAACCCCTAAAGTCTAAAATAGGAACCGCCTCTCTCTATATATTTCGAATCCTGTACCGAATTCCTCGCAGCGCGGTAACCAAGCCACGTTCCAAGACAATCAAACTTTCCGACGAGCCATTATCGTTCTAAAACCTGAAAAGACACGGATGTTTCTCATCGAGGAGGCGAAACGCGCGACCTCGATTTTCACAAAATTCCTGCGCCAGGTCGTTAGAGCCTCTTCACTCGACTCGACAAATGCGCATACATTCACCGCAGATTATCCACCGAACATATCCTCGTGACATACCAATCCGTAAAATTAAACTATTTCCTACTTTCGGTGTATAATATAAGACAAAACAATTATCATAGTAACATCGAGAATCTATCCCTTTGTCGCATAAAATTTCGAGTAAGAGATATGCGCGGTTCTAAAATTTCAAAGTTTCTCTATTCCGGCTGGCCAATTTTTTAACGTATTAGGTTGTCCGAAAAGTTTCTTTCGTTTCATAAGCTGATAATAAATGAGCCATAATAGATGAATAATAATAGATGAGTGATAATAGATAAATGTTCAAAGCAAATAAAACGCCTACGATGATATCGACCATGCTCAAGTTTGCACCAAGAACGTGTTTATTACAGGTTTAATCAAATTACAATTTCTGTTTTATATTATTTTATTGAATTAGGTATGATCCATTTCGTTCCATTTTTATTATTATTGTTCGTGCATAATTCAATAAACTAATATAAAACAAAAAACATTGTATTATTTCCTTATACGACGAAAGAAACTTTTCGGACAACCTAATATAAATTACTTTAAGAGATGCTACCAGCGAAGAATGTACAGCAATTCCATTTCAGGAACTTGTATTTATAAATTCTAGAAACGCGATCCCGATAATTTTCGTATATGTGCAATTTTGTATTCTGCATCGAGTTCGAAAATTTTAGTTGGTAAAGAAAACGACATATCGTGCGTAGCAATTTAACAATTAGCGATGTGAATGCTATAATGAATGAAATGATATGGAAATATTTTTTGTAGTCACGGTACTTTTAAATTTACCGGATAAACGATAGCGATATGAGTACAGAGTCGCGCTGATGGTTCATGGAAACAGGATTATTAACATTTTATTGAACGGAACAAGTGGGACGGTGGGTCGCGTCCCCTAAGTGCTCGTCATCGACGACAAATTGCATCGAATCGCGAAACGTCCTTCGTCGATGGTAATTTCGCACGGTGCGCGCGCCGAAAACCTGTTTTAAATTGAAATCCGGATCGAACAAGAAACCTGTCCTTATTATCAGCGAGAAAAAGGAGAAAAGAAAAAGGATCTTGCGAGGATTCTTCTTCCGACATTTTTATATTCCAGTTTGCTCCGTCTTCTTTCTACCTTAATTTAATCGACTTTGAAAATTAACCCGTGAACGTATAAATTATTCTTCGGTTTGTCAGTATAAAATAATTCAATCTTCCTCGTAATCACAAAAAGAGCGCAATTAGGTACAAAAATAGATATGAAGTTTAAAGAATGCTCTTATAACGCAACACAAAAAATTACATTGGACACTCTGTTTATTTCCTGCGAACGCGATTTCTCTTCCTTCGCTCCTATTTTATTTTAATTCGTGAAAGTACCTCTTAAATTTCCTACTATTTTTTTTATTAAAACACTCCGTCCACATACCTCGGCATAAAATATCTCCAATCTACGAAGACAAATGGTCAAACCAAATAAAACGTTTACGATATCGAGCATGCCCAAGTTTACACCAAGAACGTGTCTATTACAGGTTTAATCAAATTACAAAAAAAAAAAAGAAAAGAAAAATCAATTTTCATTCCTCGTTATAATATACGCCAAACGGAACTTTGAATAACTGATTTTCTAGAAGTCAACCATTAACATTACGTTCATCGTATTCGTATATTAAAATCAACGCTGCTCGAACTCGCATTCTCACCCTCGTTCACCATTCTTGGTTCCCCTTAGTCGCGAAACCGCGAGGCGAAACGATATGTGTTCAAGGCAGCAACGGGGCTGGGGGTTTGTTATACATAAGCTGGTACGGGGGATTGAAATGGGGGCGCGAGTTGAATACAGGACAGATTACCGGGCCGCCCCTCGGAGGGTTTACGAAAAGGGGTGGCAGCTTGACTAACGGACGTCGAGTGTCGCGGAGCTGTGGATAAACGCTCGTGTAATCCCTTCCAAATGGACACGCGTGTCGCTTGCCAAACATTTCATCTCGAGTAACCGTTTCATGGGAGTAATAATTATTTCATTGTCGTTCCGTGGAATATTATTCAATTTCACGGCGGTAGAATATTATTGAATTCCTTCCTCGAGAAGGGGATGGGTGGAATTTTTTTTTAATAAGAATAATTTTAGTTTCTAAATGGAGTTTCGTACTTACTGGCTTCCGCGTTCCCCATTATATCTTTTGTCGGATCGTCTGATACAATATATTATTAGCGAGATTTATTTATTCGGAATTATTCAGACAAGTGGATCCTTCATGAAGTTCAGTTACGATTAATTACGATTTTATGCGTGGCTTTCACGAATACAGTTGTACGTATTGTTAAATATTGAATTAAACTTATTAAGAGTATTTAGAGGGAAGGTTATACTCGTAGAAAACAAGCAACTAGTAGTACCTTCGTTTTAATAAAATCCTAGTTTAGTAAAGTCCAATTAGCTTAAAAACTCGCAGAAAATATAAAATGGCCCGTTAAAATCTACTTTTAAAATTCAATTAACTTTCCGCGTGTAACGGTACATATCCGAGAAGGAATTCCTTATTTAATGCTTCGTACTTAAAAATGCTACTAGATTAAACTTAAAATTTAAGGCACAATTTGTCTTACGTACAAAGTTACTTACGAATTGCTTAATACGTACGTTTTGCGCGGTAGACTTTAAAAACCACTTTAAACAGTTGGTTCCTTCTTAAAAGAAGAAACATTGATCAACCGTATTTCTTCCTCGCGTAAAATTATGAATGCAATTACAAAGGGATCAAAGATCAAACTTTCCAGAGAAAGCACAGCACGAAGAATGGAAAATTTTGTACACGCGCGACGCTAAGCCAGTTATTAACGCATCATACTCGTACCATCTACGTAGCGCGTTAAATGCGCACTGTGCAACGTTATTCGCGATATGTAATGCGCATTACGGCCACGGTACTGAACAGTGTCACTCCCTTTCGCGTAATTATTTCGTCGCCAGTTTCTCGTGCATCCCTTTCTTCCCTTCGCGAAGCTCAGTCTCGACGCGACACTACCGTGGATGGAGACCGATCGAGCGAGAAACAGAGTCTTCATCGTCGTCGACAGGCGTGTAAAAACGTCAGCCTTTTCATTCTCGCATCCTGGCTGACGAACGAAGAGCATCGAGGAAAAAAGCCACCTGACCGATGCGAGGGGGTGGAAAGAATCGCCGGAGAAAGGGTGAAGGAACGACGGAGGTGAAACGAAGGAGAGACCTGAAAATGGACAGCAACGAAGAGAGGTACACAGTGGTTAAGGGTAGGTTTCCCGTTGAAGGGTGAAGCGAGACAAGGAAGCGTACGAAGAAACAGGGTGGTTTTCGAAGAATCGAGAGTACAGTAACGCACGAAAGTATGCGAACACTCGTAGAAATATTTGATGAATACGTGCAATACAAAATATATAAATATAACTAGATACGTAGGTTACGGAAAAGATTTTGAAATTTCATTGGAACTGCAACGAGGTTCGATTATTGCGATCGTACTGGTTACGTTTCAGACTAATGCGAAACCTGATAGTCAAGACAATTATCAATCGCACCGATAAGCCTAAGTCAGTTTTTATAATTTTGTTGTTTATCGTCTGTTGGATTATTTAACGTTTAAGACAGCTGTTCTTGTTGCAGATGAATATTTTTACGAAACGTACGTTTGCGATAGATATTTTTAACTTCTATGTACGCTTTTACATGTGTTCCAAATTTTATCGACACAATGATCGTGGCAGCGCGTTTCGTTACAGCGTTAATAAAATTTCCACGTGTTTTGTACTACGATACACGCACATCAAAAATTTCCTATGGCGAGAGTTGAAATGTTTTCGCGAGCAAACTGTAGAAGAGTACGGAGAAAAAGAAGGGGAAGACGAAGGGTGAAAGTCGGCGTGGAAGAGAAACAGGAATGACACAGTCGGGGGTGGTGAGGGCAAGGGAGTGACGAGGGGCTGCAATAAGAGCAGAAACATCGGTGCCAGATGAGTGTGCCGTGAGTCATGCCGCATTCAGACCTCGACTTTTCTCTCTCCGCAATAAAACTCGGTAATATTACCGGGGTAATCTGCCCCGTGGGTGCGTCCGGTTGCGAATTCACCCGCCGGTAATTAAAGTCTCTCTCTTGGTCCCATCTCACTTTCCACCGCAGGACTTCGCACACCCTCGCACTAATAACTCGAGACGCGGGGTGGTTATCCTCGATGCACTTGTTTTGT